ACTTGTGTTTCGCGCGCTCATATGACCTTAGCAGTTGCGAGCGCCGTAAAACCTTATACTATACATACATACATACATGGTTACAGATATTTTTTAAAAAGATAGTTTCATCGTTTTCATACTGTCCAAGCAATTCTTGACAACAATCCACATTTTGCACTTTTTTTAGGAGTCAGCAAACGTGGGACCCTGTCTCGCTAAAGCCTTGGTCATGTCCAAATGTTCATTTAAGATTCTTTCAACTGATCCAAATGTAAGCGTAGTTTCTTTGTTCAAACGTTCGACTTTCACCCGCTTATCAGACAACACAAGTTTCTTGATTTTCAACACATTCTCTTCTGTTGTTGCTGTCACGGTGCGATCATCACGGTGGTCATCTTTAATGTCGATGAATCTGCTTTTGAATTTTTTTGCACCAAAATTGTATCACAGCATAACATGGGCTGCCAGTTCCAATATTATACGGCATGCATCTCCGTAAAAGATATGCTATGGTTGCTTGCCTTGCAAGGACACCATCTTAATTACTGTTCTGTGCTCAGTTTTCTCCACATTCATTTTGAACCCGTAGAACAACATACCCCCATTCACTTACAGTCCCCAAATTTACATGCATTCTAGGACGATAATTGTTGGCTTTCACTCCAAATTTCAGCTTTCTACCTTAATTCCTTGTTGGTCAGGTTAAAAAAAAAACTTTTGCTATACCCCTCGTACATGTACTTCGGACTCAAATCTCAGATTTCCACTCAGTTGATTAAATTCGTAACCCAGTACACCAAAATAGCCTACCACCAAAGCCCTTAGAAATATTGCTAAAACACATTACTTTTTTTTTTCAAATTTGTCATTACGTACTACTTTTTTGGTGCCTATGTGTAGCGGGTAGGCTCTCCGTGGTTGCAAGTAGAAGGCCAGGGTTTAATTCTCATGTGAGGAGCATTGGTAACGAGTATCTCTGTCTTTCTGCTTGGACAATGTATCCCTCTCCCTGATAGGTATAGTTGAAGCTCACCTTCTTATTAACCTTAAGTGTATCAAATGAACACTTGAAAAAGTGCATCTTTATAACCGCCAATCAATGACGCTTTTTTCTTCAGTTGTGCCGAGATCGCGACATTTTCGCTACACGGGTCATACAGGGCAATATAAAGCTGGAGTTGCAAACCATAAAACTGCGACATATGGAAGATGTCATAATGAAAGGTCAGACACACGCACACACACACACACACACACACACACACACACACACACACACACACACAC